GCGTGCCACCATACTGGAGGGGACAAAGTGTCCGTCCCCACGAGTCTGAAGCATGTTTGAGATTCAAAGTGTGGTTTTAGCTGCAGGGCCACAGTTCGGTTTATTTTCATGGTTAGGCATTATGTCAATCAAACGTCCTCAGTAAGACATGAAAACGAGTGTGTGTGTTTCCGTTCATGTTGGTATGTGTTTAACCACCTTGTGGCCACAGGATGTGGTTGAAAGTGTGAAGCAACAGTTGTTACGTCGCTATGGGAACATGAAAGGTGTTAAAAAACACTTTCGGAGTTGAAGAAAAGACGTTTTTGTCGTTTTTGCAGCTTGTTTGTCTCTTTGAATTTTCCAGCTCGTGCAGTGGCGCATGGCGGTGCAGACCGTGAACCACCGAAGGCCCAGGATGAAGGACGTGTTGATGGCAGAGCCGGGTCGGGGCACACGGGCTGTTCTGGGCCTCGCTTTCCGTGCAGGCTGCTTTCAGCAACACCAGCTTACAAAAACCCACCTGCCCGCTGCCAGCAGGACAGCACACGTCAGTGTTAAAACCCACAAACACAGCACAAAACGTACGTGTTACTTAAGGTGAAGCTCCGACAGTCTCATCGCTTCTTTCTGTAATCGTTCAAATGGAGATTCATGAAAAGGCCGCACGCAGCTTCCATTCAAACAGGATCAGGTGTGACGCGCCCTAAATGGAAAATCAGCTGCATTTGGATGAAGATGGATTCTGCCTGTGCTGGTTTTGTGGAGCCACGTGTGGTTGGATAGTTACATGAAAAAGACTCCAACGCACAAACGCCGTCATGAAAGTGGCTCCAGTCTAACGAGCCAAACTGTTGTAAAACAAGCGCAGCCTCTACTGCCTCCAGGCTGGCTGCAGCTCAGGTGGTGGAGCAGGTCATCTACTAACCAGAAGGTTGATGGTTTGATCCCAGTCTGCTCCAGTCTGGATGCCAAGAAGAAAAGCGCTATATAAGAATCAGTCCATTAACATTTAGTGTCGAACTCCAGGCCTCGATCGCCAGCATCCCACAGGTCAGCACACCTGAATCACATGATGAGTTCATTACCAGGCCTCTGAAGAACTTTAAGACATGCTGAGGAGGAAATTTAGCCTTTAAATCAGCTGTGATTTATTCAAGGACGCATCTAACACCTGCAGGACGCCGGCCCTCAAGGCCTGGAGTTGGACACCCCTGTCTTAACGTCTCTGAGGACGCTGCTGGAGGCAGCTCCATCACAGGGACTGCAGCTTGTGAAACTTCATGCTCGGTGCTGCAGTTGCTGCTCAGGCGTACCTCGGTCGAAGCAGCGCCTCCGTGAACATTACTGTGCTTCAGCCCTGCGCTCATGTTCACATGAGACAGGAAGTCGAAGCTGTCTGTGGTTATTGTGTCATTGTCTGTTCTATATCAGTCAGTGAGTCACTTAATGCTTACTTTGACCAGCGCGGCAAGAAGGACGACGTATTTTAGAGGTAAAAGTATCACGAAGACTCTGGAGACAGCGACGGGGGTTTATCCTTTTCTCAGCAACCCCCCACATAACCCCCACCGTGGGAGTAATCTCAGACAGCGCCTGAAGTCTTCACCTGTGAAAGGGCATTCTCATTTTCTGTTGCAGTGACGTGCGCTGAATTTACAGAAAGGGAAGCAGAGGAGCTGACGGCCCACCCACAGACACAGAGAAGCTTCCACTGCTCACCTACAGACCGCTGGACCAGACGGAAACACGCTGGCTCGCATCAGCAGCGCTTTTATACCGTAGCTTTGAAGTATCCACAGAATCGCCCCGTACCACGTATGATGTCACACACCTTATTAGGATTTACAAAAAACAAACCTCATACGAGGCTCGGGAGAGGAAGTGAGCGTCAGCGGCCACGCCAACAACAAGTCGGCAGCAAACACGCGTCCTCTAATCCTGCCGTGTTCAACGTGTCCTCTGTGTGGGACTTTTCCCATCAGTATAATTCAATAGTCCTCACATAAAACTTTATATTACTGTCAGATTAGACTCAAGAAAGAGCTGCTGCGGACATGAAAGTGACAGAAACAACTGCAGCCTCGCAGCAGGCCGGACCACAGCAGCATCTTCAGTCTGCAGCTCAGCTGTGCTGATGTGCGTCTCCTTCAGGTTTAGTGCTTCTGAGGCCGCTGTCTGAATTATGAATGATGCTCTGAGAGCATTTTAGTCGAAGACTCCTCCAGCTCCTGCCTTCTGAAACAGAGACGTCACCGTTTGATCACAAGCAGAGTCCTTGAAACAAAACCAGCCTGAGACTAAACAGAAAGATAAAAACGGACTCGTTAGAGCCGGCGATAGAAAAGCATTCTCACGTCTGTCTGCGATGTTCTGCCGTCACACAGTAACGTTGTCGCATCAGCGGCTCGTGATGCTGCAGCTTGTCAAGTGTTCTCGTGGAGCCGGGTGGTGCTTCCCTGTGGTGGTCATCTCTGTGACTCGCCTGGCTTCTCCGGGTGGCGTCCAGCTTGCACTGAGAGTTCACAGCTACATGTGCAGTGTTGGGATTGAGAGTTAGTACTTCCAGTCTGAGCTGGGTCCGAGTTTAAGTGTCTCGGGGTCTCCTCTATGATGAGTTGGTGACGCCTCTGTAGTGACGTGAACGCCGTACCGGCCTGTGGTGGTAAAAACAAAGCTGTCGACTCAGAGGTCGATCCACGCCCCCACCCTCACCTTTGACTGGGAGCTCTGGATGGTGACTGGAACAGGCACCACCTCTCAGCTCTGTGGTGCACAGAAGTTTAGCATTTATCACCTGCACTGGAACACGATCTGTACTCGCGGCACAGAAACAAGCTGGCGAGCGTGATGTGCTTCATGATTGATTTTGTACTTCTAAAGCACAACAGCTCAACTGTAGCTCCTCCCATTTCTGGTCATGTACAGAGCTGATGTAGTGAACCTGAGCTGCATCCATCGCAGAAGCGCAGAAACCTCGTGTCCTTCTGTGTGTCCACGAAGATCGAGTTGAAATCAGAAAAATTCGTATTCGCAGCTCAGCCTGAGAGAGTGTGATTAATGAACTTCAGCTCGTTTTCTGTTACCTCAGGATGCAGGCGAGCATCACCGCCCTGTGTGTGTTCAGACGACTGACGTAGTTTACTCCTCTATATTTATCTCACTGTTGTCTCGTGAGCTGGTCTGCACGTCTGCACGTCTGCACACTCTTTAAAACGAAGGTTTTATCTCATGTTTCCTGCTTAAACGTGAAATATTCAAACAGAAAACAGAGAAAATGGTGCTGAGCTCTGAATGGAGGAGTGTGAGTGTGTGTGCGTGCATGTGTGCGTGAGTGTGTGTGCGTGCGTGTGTTCAGTTTAAAGGGAAACGTCCTGACAGCAGCTCTGTTGTCCTGCTGCTCGGGAACATTCGTGCCTCTCTGGAAGCTGCTGCTGCAGTGCTTCCTGACAGAGACCACACCTCCACTCAGCCCACAGTTCACGCTGACACCTCAGCCACCCAAAAACCTGCACACACAGGATGTCTGCTTCAAAATAAAGGCCAAACAAACACAAGCAGACTCACAGCATGTTTCAGTCAGAAAACAACATAAAGTCCAGCGTTATCAGGCGCCACTCATGATTGTGTGTGCCTGCTGCAGCCGTCTCAGACTGATTAAAGTTATCTTATAAATGACTCTCACATGTAAAGGGAAATAACAGAAACCACAATATTACAATGACATAAATAAAGATGGGATTCAGTGATATTACTGACTCTCTAGCATCTGTTTAATTTCCTGTTAGGTATCCTAACAACAAACTATGGTCTTATCAGAGATCTCCCCACATTATTTTCTGAATCATGATGGATCATGGAGTATCTGATGGAAAATTAAAAGAAGCAAATTCACCAACAAAACGAGAGCCGTGTTTGAGTTAGAATAAACACCTCAAACATCAAACTTGACGTTCAGCTTTAATATAATTTTAATTGATCGTTTTAACTTATTTTTATAAATCAAATTTCATTTATTATAAAACAAGCAACAATGAATAAATGAGATAAAATCACCACAACCTGCAGTTCCTGTGATGTCCAGCAGGGGCAGCAGAGAGTCAGTCCCCATAGACTCCCATGTTAAACTTTACAGCAGAGATATAAACTGCTTGGTCTCTACAGATTCCCCCTTCATAACAACTGTAACCGAGTAATTGATTTTTTTATCTGTGAGTTTTGAGACTTAAATTTATGGGCGTGGCCAGTCATTGACTAACAGCTGGATGGTCACAGGGTGTGGCTGGAGTCCCTGAACTGGACCTCTGCACGGTGTTTGTACCGCTGGAGCATTTTGGAGAACTTTTAATGACATCATGTGGCCAATAACATGTCTGCTGTGAGGTCCTATATTAACAGAGTGTTCAAGAAGGCGGAGCTCCAGTTTTTAGTGACTGAAATTCAAGGATTTCACTGAGGGTACACCAAAGCTTTGGTGATTGTTGAGTCATATACGGGTGATGTATGTTGAGCTTGACACATGAAAGAAACGCAAAAGCAGAACACGACATTTTATTCACAGAGGATGATGAAATGACCGGAATTTACACGAAAATCGAACGAACTGTGATTTAAAATAAATGTTAATGACCCAATCTCAATGATGTGCGCGCAAAGTTTCTGTCAGAGTGGCTCACCTGTGAAGGAGGAGAGTGATAAGATGTTATTGAACACTGATTAGCAGACATATGTGTGTGTGGATGTACACTAATAAGAAAACAAGGCTCTAAAATGTCCAAAACCAGGGGGTGACATCAAAGTGGTGGTGTCCATCTTTATATACAGTCTATGGAACTCACAAAAATTGATATTTCAGACACACTCAGAAAAATACACTCAAAAAACAAATTAAATTAAAAACATGCTACTGTTATTATACTGAGAATATATCAATACACACTGAAGTGTTTTGAGAGGACGGGGTTTTGTCGGTGCTTTTATTATGAAATATATCCCGGAAGCAGTCGCATTTATCTGCTGCGCGTTGACGTCAGCGATAAAAACAGGGGCTGTGCCGTGTCGCGCGGTCGACGGTGACTTTCCGCTGCGGTTAAACTCGTTTAAACGTTTCATTTACCGTGCTGTTTACCGGCATCATGTCTCACACCGTCATCACCACGACAACAACCACCAGGACATCCGGGGAGAGCGGCCTGAACCTGGGCTACACCCAGACCATCCCGGGACTGCTCAAGATCGGACAGCTGGTAAGAGTCGGTCCGGTGGACAAACCCCGGGGCTTTACCCGGTTCTACCCGGGTTTGTGTGCGCCTGGTTTTCTAAAGATTTAGACACGAGAAACTTTAACTGTGAAATATTTAAACGACTGTTGTTGTTATTGATCGGCCTGTGATGCTCGGAGTGATCGGCTCCTGATGGAGAAATATTGATTTTCGTAAAAACTTCCACCCAGACAGGGACGGGCGAACAGAAAACGGGGCCCGGGGCTCAGAGACAGCTACAGACCCCCAGGCTTTTACAGGGGACCTCTCCAGCTGTTTTACGTGTCCTCGTGTTATTAGAAAAGCACCGTTAGACCCACTCACAAGCAACTTTATTAGAGATGTTTTAATTCTTCATGGCTCAGAATCAACAAGCTGCTGGAAACATTTCTCAGGGGCTTTGGTCATGTGATCACAGTGAGATGATTTTGTGACATGGAGCGTCATCCTGCTGGAAGCAGCCAATCAGAAGATGGTACACTCTGGTCAAAAAGGGATGCCACACTCAGGCAGGCTGTGGCGTTTCGGTGAAGCTCTTACCGCTGAAACAGGCCAGAGTGGATCCACACTTTCATGCTGCTTCCTCAAACTCTGACTCCATCATTGACGGTTGCAGCAGAAACGGAGACTCATCAGACCAGGCAGCGTTTCTCTGATCACCTGGTGTGGTCGTCTGCTGCCGTAGCCCATCTGCTCGATGTTCCACACGTTCATTGATGCTCTGCATGCGATGGTTGTAACGAGTGTTCATCATGATGATCTGACACCCTCGTGTTGGTGTGGTTCCCACATCATCATCATAAATGTTGTTCCAGGTTTAACATTGCAAGTGACCAATCACATTGTTGTGATGTCACACTTTTGCGACTTCGTAAAAAAAAGCGCTGTAAAAAAAAAGTCTGCGTAACGGCCTCTGTCCTCCGATGCAGCGATTTGAATCTTTGCATTTCAGGATGCTGTTCTGTAACAAACGGTAAGATTTATGCATGTTGTCTTTGCAACATTGAAATTTCGTAAATGAATGAATCGCTTGGCTTGCAAAAGTATGA